AACATAGTGCATTGAGATGTCAACCTCATTCTAACCTCAGTGCCGTCCTGAATGAACAATTACAGCCATAACACTTTAGCATTTCACTTCTGCCAAGTGCAGAGGATGAACAAACTAGAGCTAATCTTATATTTGCGCACAGAATGCTCAGTGGCACTCTCCACATTCTTCCTTTTCTAACCCCCAAACCCCCCGCAAACATCTTTATGATTTTTAGTATACAGTTCAAGTGTATACTTTTCTTTTTACCCTTGATCTAAATCCATTCAATCCATTTACCAGTTGAGCAAACACAGCATTTGTGGGAGGGGTGTGCCCTTTAATTCAATATATGAAAAACATGTGGTAGAATTGCATTGCAGTTTGGTGGAAATACTTTCCGCTGAGTACAGTAGTTAAGTTTATTTCACTTGTTGATGAGCTCACCATAGAGCACATGTAAAATGCTGTGACTGTGTATATCTGACTGTGGGAATGTGATTATTGAAGGAATAATGTTTTCTAGGAAGGAGTAAACACATTTTCACAGCTGTGCAGAACGATTCATACAACAAATCCTTTTCTGAAAGTATAACAAATGTTCACACTAAAACAGAAACTAGGAGTTGGAATTCATTCGAATGAGAGATATGCACTGATTTACCAAAGTGACCAAGAAGACAGCAGTCTCAGAGAGCACCAGGTGGACTTGAAAAGTCAGCTATCAAACTGTCAAAACTGAAAGCTATTTCACTCAAGCAGCACACCGCTCACCACAAAATTAATGCATAACAAAGTGCTTTTGCTCATAGTCTACAGACACTCTAGTGAAATACTGAAGTGTTATTGTCAGAGGTGTCTTTCGCCACTTGATGTTAAACTGAGGACTCATCTGCCTGTTCTGGTAGCTCAGATAGATTCCATGGCAATATTTGTAAAATGATCAGGGTAAAATGATTCCTGAGTCCTCGGCAATATATCCGCCCACATTTCAATTTAAACTCCAATACCTTGCATTTAAACAGCTCCTTTTATGTAAGACAAATGTCCCAAAGCACATTCTAAAAGGAAAATAATTATAAATGAAGTGAATATTATACAGATAAACATGACAGCTAATTTGTGTTAGTAACATGACGCACTAAATTGCCAACTTATCTGAATTTGGGGGTGGTAAATTTAGATTAAGATAAGAAGGGCACATTACATTCGGAATTACATGTATATGAAGTAGAAAGGAAATTCAGCAAATAAAGCCAGATTAACTGGTCATTCACCTGATTGCTGTATTTAGGACATCATATCACTGCACTTCAAAGTCATTCATTGAATGAAGTGCTGCAAGATGCTTCAAAGTGATGAGACACTGCATCAAATGCAAATACTATCATTAGTCTAAAATCAATCCTACAATCTGTGTTTTTCATTTAGCTTCAATTGGCTAGTATTTTCAGGGAGCAAAGTAGCTATTAAGCAACAATTTTAGAACTCACTTCATAATAATAATAATAATAATAATAATAGTAGTAATGATGTGGGTGGGTGTTCATCCAGACAATCTTGTGATCTTGGTAAATGAAACCAGAAATACAGATTTTTGAAAAAAAATCACATCAACATCTTACTTTCAAGGTAAGTGCACATGAAACCCTTTCCCATCTTTTCCACAAGATATTTAATTACTGGAAATTACCAGGATTTTAGAACTAAATGACACTGCACATTCCTTTGCGCAACGTGGACTGTTTGCATCTTAGACAAGCCAGAGACACAGATTGGTCAACTATCAATAATGCCTTGTATTCCTGTGACCTTGGAAACGTATGCCAGAGAGACCCCATTCACCTGACCCAACTGCTGGAGGATATTTTTAGACATGCTGCTCATTTTATCAACCTCAAAAGAGTGAGGATTGTGATTCAAACCCAAAACCTCTGGTTAACCGACTGAGTAATCTGGGAAGTTATAACCATAGTTAAAAAGTTAAGGATATATTGGCAATAACATTACAGACCGACATCACCACTCAGAAGAATATAAATACAGAAACAAATATTTTGGAGATCAGCTCAAAACTCTACGTAGTTTCTGAGATCAATGTTGCAGTTTCCCAAAGCCAACGTTAACAGTGTTAGAAATGTTTAAATTCTGTATTGAAGATCGAACGCTTCATTTATAAAAGGCCTCCACTTCTCCCAAGTAGCCACCAATTGAAAGTCAGGAACAGGGGGCCAAAAAAGGTTCAAGAATGAAAGGTAAAGACATAATTATGCAAGAGAAAGATTGAAGGTTTAAAAAAAAGGAAGTAAAACTAAGAACAGAAAATTCACCAGCTCAAGTGGCTTCACTTGTTGTTTTGGAAGAGAACTGAAGAGCGCTTTCTTTGGTGTTTACCAGGGAACTGCATAAGAGAAGCATTGAAGGAGATTTTAATTGTAGTATTAGGATTCAAAAGGGTAGACATAAACAGAACCTAATACTGTGCTAAATATGATCACAAATTCTTGAACAAGGATCAAAATCACTTTGGTCTATGTGGGAAAGTGGTTTACTAGAAGGTAACTAAGCTATCAGAGGAGCTAATCTTGAATTATAGGAACCAGCTCCCAAATAGTTTCCTAATAATCTTACTAGCCTGGCCGCACCCTTTGCTCAGCGGCACAAGTCTGTTTCATGTCCCTTGTCCTACCGCCTCAACATCGACGGGCAGGCTTTCAGCCTATCTGCCCTCACTCTCTGGAACTCCATCCCGGATTCACTCCAACTCACTCCCATCCTCGCCTCATGCAAGGTCTATCACAAGACCTACATCTTTGACCATTTTTCCAAACTAGGACTGTTAAGGAGCTTGGGACATCATCCTGACGTGATACATTCTACATAAATCTGAATTCATAATGTTTTGTATTTCCCCAAGTCTTTTAGATATTCCTGGTTAATATATTTTACATTCTCACAACGAATGATGTAAAGATATGTAATTCAGACAAAAATCAAGTTCCTAAAACTCACGCCAAAACAACATTTGTGTGTTCGTTCTACTTCCTACTGATTACATCGAGCCTGCAGTGCTGTGATTCAATAAAAATAAAATAGGAGTTAAGCTTCCTCTTCTACAAAGAAACCGAAGTAAGAAAACAAGAAAAGGTTGAAAGATTGCAGAAGAAAATCTTTGATCACATTCCACATCGGGGTTATTAAACACAACAGACTGTTCCTGTATTTTTCCACACTAATGAGAAACGTTGTTCCAAACACAGCCAAAGTTTTTAGCTCAATTTTCCCACCTTCTCAAGACACTAAGTCTTTGCTGGGTCACAGTTAGACTGACTAATTTGGTACTTCATCCAAAAATTCACATCAACACCTTAAGGTAAGTGCACATGAAACCTTTTTTCATCACATTTGATGATTTATCACGTGTGAGATCCACCAATCCACTCACTCAGTGCATTTATTATACAATGTTATAAACCATTTCAGTTTGCTGTAACCAGGAATCGTAGCTAGCGAATCAGACTGATAAAAAAAACACTTCATATGACAATGTCAACTCTACAGAGCTGTCCTCCATTTCATTCAAAGCCAGTAAGAACAGCCATTTATCAACCAGTATTTTCACACTGATAAAATATTTCACTGCAAATACTATTTCCCCTGTAACAGGCAGTGAACATAAAACTCAGGATAATCAGTTGAAATCCTGTGGTACAATAACGCTTCAGTTCATATCAAATCAGTGGATTGTAAGTTCAAGGTATTTGTTGCTATCTGTAACTATACCACGGGCCAACAAAACTATGTCTTGCCGAAAACTGATTAAAACTGTCCCATAAACTCTTAGTTTTGTCTCAAACCTAAGTTGTAGTGTTTTTCAAGGATGACAGCATTAAACCTCTCAACTAGCGTGTGACACTGGAACCCAGATGTTACTCTGATTTGCCATAGTCTATGCCTTTACATTGTCTCATTGAAGTTCACTATTCTATAAACATGGAATTGAACAGCAAGAGTCCACAGTAAGTTTTTAAGTCCAGAGTCTGCTTTCTGGCTTGGTTACAATTTCCTCAACATTGTAAATTTAGTTTATAAAGTACAGGGCAACCCCGTTACTCTGGTGAGGTGCTTAATGGGACTGCTCTGTTACGTGCCAATATTAATACCGGTTAGTCACCTGTTAAATACACTTTTATTTTGCAAGTTATTTCACCAATTGGTTTTATTAATACGACTCATAAAACCAATATACAAAGGTCAATGGTTGATGAATGGGGAAGAAAGGCTGGGCCTTTAATTATATGGTCAATAATATAGCCAATTAATGAGAGTGTATTATTTTCCATGCTCTCTGGAAACCTATTCATTTATCAATCCACTCAAGATTTAATTTGGTAAAGGCCAAGATACAAATTAACCAGACGCACTTTAGCCACATTTTCCTACTTGGTCGCAGACAAGTACAAACTAAAAGGTCTATTAAAGCGGTGACAGATGGAACCGTACAGAAATGGAAAATTCCCACCAATAGAGTGGTGGAGGGTGTTCTTTTACTGGTCTGATTTAAGATGCATGATTGGCCAATGTATTAGAAGCATGATCCTACATCTGTCTTATGTTGTACCCCTAATCTGCGAGGGAGCAGAATAAAGGGTGTGTTTACTTTGCATCTTCACGTATCTGACTTGGCATTGAAATCCATCCCACTGGCTCCCCATAATAATAATAATAATAATCCTTGCATTTGATATAGCGCTTTTCACGTCGGGAGAACGTCCCAAAGCGCTTCACAGAACACACTGTAAAGTGAATTGACTGTATATTTGTGGGCGAACGCGGCAGCCAATTGCGCACAGCAATGTCCCACAAACAGTCGTAGATTGAAAATGACCAATTTATTATTGTTTTTTTTGTTTTTGGAGGGATTATTATTAGGCTCTGTGTGGAGTAAGGAAACTTGCCCAAGGTTTCGCCCCCTGCCTGGAATTGAACTCAGGTCTCTCGCTTGCAAAGCGAGTGCTCTAACCACTGAGCTACAGGACTCCACAACTCCCTCCACCTCCCCAGAAAAGGAGGAGGAACGAACATCAATGGCTGTGAGCTCTTGCACAAACGGCAACACTCACAGCCCGCTTCACGCTCAGAAGGAATCGTTCCATCTCCTCCTCGTGGCTGGCGAGACCGAACAAGTTCAGAAAAACATTTCTCAGTTCAGAGACTATAGAAATGATCCCTAAAAGTATAGTCACCAAATGGATCAACTTCAAGATCCACAAACTCCTGTTCAAATCCATTCATGCCCTGGCACCTCCCTACCTCTCCGACGTCCTCATCCCCAATCCACCACCTGGCACCTTGCTCGACTGGCACTGGCCTCCTGCTCATCTCTTGGACCCTCTGCCCTACCATCGGAGGATGCTTTCAGACACTACGCCCCAAAACTCTGGAACACTCTCCCTCAATCTCTCCGTCTTGCCCTCTCTCTGCCCTCTTTCAAGTCCCACCTGAAAACTTTCCTTTTCGACCGTGCTTATAGCCACCTTCCCCTGGCTCAGAGTCAGGCTCCGTCACTGTTAAACGCTCTGAGACGCTACCTGGTGTGGAGGGCATTATATAAGTGCAAGTTTTTGTTGTACGTTGACAATGGATGTCTAAAGTGAAGAGCGCTCTCACACAACAGTTCTCAACTTGACAACTACCAAAATGTGTGTAAAATGAAAAACAATATGACAAACAAGGAAGCCGATAAAATAGTTAAAAAGTAATGTATTTACATACGATAGTTACACACAGGATCAATACTGCAATAAAATCCATCCCAACACTAGTTAGAAGATATCAATAATGGTCCCAGCTCTTTGCAGGTCTGTGAAACTTTTCAGTTTCTGGATATTGTGGAATGTAAGAATCACGAAGTTTATGCTGGGATTTCAATGCCAAGTCAGATAAGTGAAGATGCAAAGTAAACACACCCTTTATTCTGCTCCCAAAAGGTGCCCTTTATTTCCCACAACAATCATCAGTGTGACCTCTCAGCACGAACTTACCAATTTGTATAAGTGTTCCAGTTTAGTAATGCCAATCACTGCTATTGCCAGGAGCCAAAGGGAGATTAAAACGTAACGATTTTTTTCGACTTTCAGTTCAAATTATGAGGTTTCTGGGGAATTGCAATGAGTTTACAAGCTGCTCATGTGGTGACAAGGATGAGGAGGGGTTGGGAGTATTCTACATTGAAAGCATTACTCTAAACAGTAATGATTCCTTTCAAGTCAAACCGTCTGTGCATACAGATGAACTGACTTCTTTCTGTGGCTGAACCTCTCTGTTCGAGCATAGCTTAAATGTTCAATGGTAAGGTTCAACACTTTATAAAGAGCCACAACAGGTTAAATAGTACGTTTTTGTTTTGCAAAAAACAGCACCAACTTTCAGACTTAATGTATCTACCAACGTGAACAAATGATTCAAAGCTGTGACTCTACAGACAAGTGGCTAAAGTGGTGGCTTTGTAAAAAATATTTTCAGATATCGACCAACAACAGAAAGAAAGAATCTCGAGAACAGCTACACAACACAAAGAGAAATAACAAGAAACAAAAACAGAAGTCGCTGGGAACACTCAGGAGGTCAGGCAGCATCTATGGAGAGAGGAAAGTGAGTCAATGTTTCAGAACAGACGAAGGGTCGTGGACCCGAAACGTTGCCTCACTTTTCTTTCTCCATAGATGCTGCCTGACCTGCTGAGTGTTCCCAGTGACTTCTGTTTTTGTTTCAGATTTCCAGCATCTGCAGTACTTTGTGTTTTGAGAAATAACAAGAGGTTGTTGGGTAGCCAGTCAGCACTGAAAAGATGAAATGAAGATCTGTTGGGTTTTCAAGACCTGATACTTTGGGGAGAAGCAATTGGGTGATTTAATGAATTTTGGATCAAAGATAGCATTGGGAATTATGTAATGTGTTTTATTTGAGTTTGCTTTCTGAACAAAAAAATACATATTGCGAGCTAATTACGTAAGTTAAACATCACTGCATCTTCAACACCTCTTGGGTAGCATTGTGTAACACACTGAAACACCAACACACTGCACCATTGCACTAGTGCGAAAATGTGGCATTCACAAATGAGACATTACTGCCCTAATTGGAATTACTATCACAGCTACCATTTTGCTTTCGGGACAAAAGTCAAACCAAAGATCGGAAAACAAGATGCCAGTCACTAAAACAGCCTTCGACCTTGCATTTTAGCGTGTTGGAATTAATCTGCTTTGTTTCATTGTTTATGGTTGAACGAACCATTAACCATCAATCTAATAATAATAATAATTGCATTTGATGTAGCGCCTTATCATGTTGTTGAGTCGTCTCAAAGTGCTTCACAAGATTCCCACCTAGGAATCGAATCAGAATTCTCTCACTTGCAATGTGAGCTCGCTAACCTCTATGCTACCGGGACTCCAATGTTACCAGCAAAGCCATCCAATCTGGTTAAAAATAAAATAGGCAGGATTTTCCTTGAATCAACTTGAAAGTTAAAAAGATATCCTCGCAGTACCTTCGCAGTCAAGACAGAACAGGTTAAGAAGCGCCTGTCTTCGAATGCCAGCTGAAAAAAATAAAGTGCATCCTGAAGCCAAAGTACAGTACAGTGTTATGGATTCCAGTGTTATGGATGAAATGATCCTATTTTCCACCTTTAACACATAATGGATTCTTTAACTTTATGCTGATAAAAAAATGTTACAGCTGAAGTACTTGCGTTGCATTCTATAAAAAGTATTACAGACAGGGAAAAAAATATTACCAATAAAAGTCAGTCTGATTTTAATCTTCAGGTTGTGTCTTGCTTTTGAATCCAAGTCATTTGCATGTAGACCTCAGTGGACCTTGGATAAGAAAGAAAAAAACGATTCCAACAATGATCTTTTGTATTTTCCCCCTCTGTAAAAAAACACTGACTCAGCTCCAGGCATTTGTGAAAGCCCTGACGGTAAAGACAGCCTCTTGTAGTGCCAGCCGCTCTGCAGGGCATTGGGGAAAAAAAACTAGCCTGAAACTTAAAAAAGTGAAACTATTCATAATTAAATTGCAAAGTATTTCAATGACTGCAGCTGTTCAGACGAAAGTCCCATTTTTCAACTTATTTGGAGATTTCAGCAGCAAACCACTCGGAATCACTAAATGATCAGGGCCAAAATGTAAAATAAAAAGCATCTAAAACAAGTTCCTTGCATTTTAGTTTTACATCAAGATTACTTCCACTTGTGTTAAAAAAAATTGCAATCGCAAAAGTTATATTTAGTAAAATGGATTTTACAATGGTTCTAAATTACAGCAAAATTCTTAGGCCTTCCGATAACCATCAGTTCACCTTAAATAGGAAAGTTGCCCAAGATTGCTTTTATGCCATTATATTAAGTGCCAACACCACACTCTGGTCTCAGTATTTCAAATCTGTGCAGAGAACCTAGTGATGCAGCCAAGTTGTACTGCATCCTCTCTATATATCATTTTATTCAATAACTGAAATTGTACAATCCCTATCTTCTTTTACACGACTCTGGAAATATATTCAGCCACAACAACAAATTCCTGCGTTTTATTTGTTTCAGTACAATTTTAAAAATACAACTTCCTCTCTATTGTTTAGCCAATACAGTGACATTTTTATTCCATTAATGTGGTTGCCTTTGCATAGATATGTAGCACTTTCTCATTAAAACTTGCTTGTTGTGTTCAGTGATATTCATCCCCAAACCACAACAGATGAATCAGTTGGGGCACAGTTCTGGGTTTCATGGTGTATTCTGTTCTTCTCCAGTCTATACGGGCTGAAATTCTGTGTGGTACATTAATAACATAAAATAAGATGGTTGTCGTAATTTGTGGAGTCAAGAGAAAAATGGACGTTTATTATACACCCAAAATTCCTGTGATTTTTAGCACTGTTGTGGGGAGAGCCCAGAAATACTTCAGAGAAGTAGCTCCACGCAGGAAGTATGAACGTGCAAAATGAACTAAATGACTAAAGGCAGAAAATAGTTTTTTTTAAAAATCAACATGAATGGAAATCAAAAATATATTTGTATTTTTCATATCCTCAGCCAACGACATTGCCCCTCACACGACCACTCACCCCAGGAACAGGTTGTGCGAGAGCCACAGCTGGAAGTAAAGGTAACATCGACCGGCATCTAACCTTGAACAACAGATCCTTCCTTTGCCCATACTGGCCAATGCTGTCAGCGGGTCCACACAGGCTGTCAGAAATGAATGTCATCATGACCAACAATGCCAGGGACCAATTTATTCAAGTGCTGTACAGCTACTGGAAGTTTGCTCCCAATAGATCCCTCCGTTTGCCTGGTATTTTAATGAGACAAAAAGAAAAATACATAGAAATTGCTCCTTCGTTTGACCATTCTGTTCCAGAATTCAAACACAGGAATCATGCTGAGCTGCAAGCAGTAAAGTGAAACTATGTCACTTGGCAGAGTCTATTCACCTGATTTATAAACTATTGCTGTATCCTTTCCTTGTATTATTTACTTTACAGTATATTTCTGTTTTGAGATCTCTCGAAGACATGATAAGGCGCTATACCAAATACAAGGATTATTATTATTATTACTCCTGGCATCCCCCCTCCCCCCATAACAAGCTGATGGTATGTTACAGCATCTGCCTCAGGTTTCTTTCCGGCATTTTCCTAAAGAAGCACCTACAATGATTTTGCCAGCTTACAAACCAACGCAGTTTCACTTTAAAAAAAAGTTTTAGTAATAATATAATAATAATAATCCTTGCATTTGATATAGCATTCTTCACGTCTTCTAGACGTCTCAAAGCGCTTCACAGAATATACGGTAAAGTGAATTGACTGCATATTATGTTTAAATCAATTTGTAGCAAAGATCCAGATTTGCAGCCTCATACACACAAGCCAACAGAAAGCAACTCTGCCGCTATTACTTACTACATCTGGTAAAAGCTATACAGCTCAAGTCCTAATGTGGCAGAAAGTTTAGATAAACAGTTTCCCATATTTAAGAATTCTTGAATCTCATAAGTAAAATAATGTTCTGAATGGACACAGCAGTCACTGCAAATGCTCACCAACTGCTCAATAAATCTTACTGGTTTACCATGAGAGAGTTAAAGAATGAAAACACATCACAAACTTTCAAGCTTTGAATGTTTTACCAAATTTGTCTCAGTTCAGCAGATGAAGTATAAATGATGATAA